ATAATAAGGGGTCAGTTCAGCAGATTTCTGCATGGTGATTGCTTTGGTTAGATCAACGAATTCAGGGGGGAGTTCAAGCTGGACAGGGTTGTTCTCTGAAACAGTCACTGCATTGAGTTAAATAGGTGATATGGTTGTTAGACATTCCTGAATACATAGCTCGCTCCACTGAATGATCTTACCAGTCCTCCATAATATGGCTGGATCATGCTGTAGCCCCGAGTACATCACTTCTCAAGTCTCATTCAATTCTTATTTACTTCTATTGATTTTAACCACAAAGATTAGTCAGTTATGCTGCTTGATGTTCAAACAGGTACTTTCTTATTATCTTATTTTATTCTTATGTATAGTCATAAATACACGTGTACAACAAGTAGTTTGACTGTTTTTTGTTAGATTTTTTTTGCCATTTTTTTTTTTTTTGCAGATATTATTCCTAGTGACTTCCCCATAAGCAAATGAATTGAAGGACCTAACAATTGCAGAAAAGATCTGAACAATTGTAGAATATCATTCCTTATTCTTGCACTGCAGAATAAGGTCAGTAATAGAAATCCTCCCTATCTCCTGAATTAAACGCTGTTGGGAGCAGAGCCATTGACTATACAGTGGAACGCGCTTACAGAGATTTTGCCATATCATACGTAGCCTAAAGGCCCGTGCACAACGAGATGCTTCCAAAGACGTTTAACGCCTCGGGACCAAGTAAAGGGCGCCAATGTGATCATGCAAAATGCCAGGCTTTAAAATGTCAATTTTTTAAGAAAAGTCTAAAGCTCGTTTTTTCTGTTTTGACCTGCTACATTAAAAACTTCTCCACCAATCAGATTGGCACTTTTGTTCACAGCACAGAGCTGCTGAAGTTACAGTAAACAGCACTTGGAGGCGCTCAAATGCAAAAATGTCAATGAGAACGCACACTGAAGAAGATGCCCAGAGACAATAGGCTCGTTTGAGGTGCGCCTCGCCTTGACTGCATTGTAAACGAGGGCATGCACTAAATTCCAGGGGTTTCATTACCACGACGTAAAATGGGCGTGGCTCGGTCGGTGTTTGGGAAACGCCCCCTTAAAAAAAAAACAATACTGAGAGGTCACCGATCATGCGCAGTACAGGTTCTTTTTTAGCGCGGTCATTTCAAACAGGATGATTATGGATAAAGAACCCACCGCGGTGGATAACGAAGGAAAAAAACAATCATACAGGTTATTTTTTGTGTTTATAATGTTATATTTTAAAGATTTCATTAGCAAAAACGGCTGACCTCGTTTTACTCCATTTTACTGTCTCTGCGCTTTTGTACTTCCATTTTAAACCAAATAATAATGGTTGTGGTAAGATTAACCGTGTTTTTGTAGTTTAAAATATGGTATTCAGTCATGTTTAAACAAATCAATACCACATTTTCTGTAATAAATCGTGGTTAATTTTTCTTTCTCGATCTTAGTTAATTAACATAACTCATATTTATTTTCTATTTTTCATTTAAAGTCATCATACACAAAACAACTGGGATCAGGACAGGTATCTGATGTTAACTAATATAAAAGTGATCATACATGAAACCCCTGGGATCAGGACAGGTATCTGATGTTACTGTATATAATATAAAAGTGATCATACATGAAACCCCTGGGATCAGGACAGGTATTTGATGTTACTGTATATAATATAAAAGTGATCATACATGAAACACCTGGGATCAGGACAGGTATCTGATGTTAATATATATAAAAGTGATCATACATGAAACACCTGGGATCAGGACAGGTATTTGATGTTACTGTATATAATATAAAAGTGATCATACATGAAACACCTGAGATCAGGACAGGTATCTGATGTTAATATATATAAAAGTGATCATACATGAAACACCTGGGATCAGGACAGGTATTTGATGTTAATATATATAAAAGTGATCATACATGAAACACCTGAGATCAGGACAGGTATCTGATGTTAATATATATAAAAGTGATCATACATGAAACACCTGAGATCAGGACAGGTATTTGATGTTACTGTATATAATATAAAAGTGATCATACATGAAACACCTGGGATCAGGACAGGTATCTGATGTTAACTAATATAAAAGTAATTATACATGAAACCCCTGGCATCAGGACAGGTATCTGATGTTAATGTATATGATATATAAAGTATTTGGCACAAAAGCCGTGGGATCGGGACAGGTATCTTAAGTTATAACAGTATTAATGTAATCTGAGAGGTATCTTAAGTTAATTTGTTTAATATAACATACACTGACTTCACATGAAACACCTGCGATCAGGACAGCTATTTTAAAGTACTGCATATAAAAGGCATTGGACACGAAACCCCTGCGAATACGTACAGGTATCTGAATCAAACGGCTGTTTTCACAATCTGCGCATGATCCGTGACCTATGCAAATTCACAGATAGGCCACGCCCACCCGATGACGCAGTAGCGGTTACGCTGTACTGAAACCCCTGGAAAAAAGTGCCTGCCGTAAACGAGAGCAGGCGTGCGCAGTAAGAGGAGGGCTCAAAAATTACATCAGAAGTCGGACACCTGCCGAATCTCGCTGTTTAGCCACCTGGAAACGTCACCAGTGGCGGAGATCTCGTTCGCGTTTTTTATCGCAGACGAATGACCTCATGAAAAAATACTATGGTGATTTATAGAAAATATTATAGCATTTATGAACATGTTTATTCAGTATTGGGTTGTGTTTATAGTTGTTGTGATACCAGAACTATAAAATTTAAATAGGCTATTTTATAACATGGTTCAAAAGCACTACAGTATACATTACTATAGTATTTTTTAATGTGGGAGTGGATGCAATAGAAATATCACTGTTTTTACAGAGATGGTCAGAATTACAGAAGATGAACAGCTCATTAACTAAAAGGGTGTATTAAAAATATAATTCTGTATATTCAACAAACGTTAAAAGAATAACAAAATAAACAGCTTATACAGCAAGAAAGCTTTCAAGAATCCTAATTTGGCTACATTATAAATGAAGTAGCCATAGCAAGATGCTTTTGAGTGACAAGTCATGACAAATGTTTGTTTGACAAATAAATTCTTAGGGGGTTAATTATATTGACATGCTTATTAGGTCTATATAAACTGCTTTTACTCCAGCCAGACTAAAATAAATAGCCCAAGACTTTCTCCAGAATAAAAACTATTAGACTGCAGGAAAAACTGTGGAAATGTTCTTGGTCTATTAAACATGACTTTTGACTCCACATACATATACATATACATATGTGTGTGTGTGTGTGTCTTGTTTACTACACCCTTTTTACTTCTCATATGAAACCACACAAAGATGAGGCATAATGACAAAACAGTCTGATTACCTTTGTATTTCTGAATATATGTATATATTGGATTGACTTTAATGGAATAATGCTGCATAAAAATTACAATACAAAATTCACACAAACATACAAAAAGTGAAAATGACAACAAACAGGACTTAAGACTGAGAGAGAAATAAAATACAGCACACACACATCCTAATGATTTATTAATAACATTTAGTTATATTACATAGGTCACGTTATGTTTTACAAAGATGTGTTTTGTTGTTGTTTGCGTGTAAATCTAAATAAATAACCATAAGTAATGCTCTTTATGACTTTTTTTTTTAATTATCAACGAAAATACAAAAGGTATTCAATAAATCCAGGTATAAACCTTAGTTAAACAAGATAATAAAGCTTAATGTGTCAGTCTCATCCAATCAGCATTAAGCTGTGTCGTCAGCCAATCGTTTCCCATCATGCTTTTAGTAACGCAGTCTTTTGAGAGCAACTGCGGCCGACTGCTTTATCCGAGGTACCCGGCTCGCGATCGCGAGAGTTTTTTGGCGCACGTCAGCGTGACATCAGAGCGAGGCGAAGGCAAGGCGGACACAGTTCTAACCGGCATGCATCTTGCGGTGATCACCGGTGATCGATTCTGCGCAGATTTCGGCCAAGTCAAACGAGCCTAATATGAATCATTCCTAGAGCTGGAGCTGCTACTTAAACTATCTATGCTTGTTCGAATCCCCAGTAACTTTAATGACAACCGTGTCAACTTTCTCTCTTAGTCTTCTGTGTTACAAGCAGGTGTCAAAAGCTTAAAGTTGTGTAGTGACATCTAACATCAAGGAGTACACTTCTGCTGGACGGCAATGTAAATCGCTTGGGTTTGAATCCGGAAAAACGTTTTGAAAACCACTGACCATCAACGCAAACAAAAAGTGTCCCTGTGTGTACGAGCCTTAACAGTGGTTCAAACAAGATAAGGAGCAAACAAAAGTGTTTAAGACTCACAGTAGGTTTAGGTTTTTACATGTTTATTTACCATGGTATGTAATGGCATCTTTAAAGTTCTTTAATAGTACTATTTCTTCTATTTAGAACTATATACCATTTAACTTTTAAACTATAACTGCTCATTTGTTAATTTTAAACCATGCCTTTTCACCTCTTTTAGCAATTTAACAATGTTTAGACATGATTTGGTTCAGTAAATGAGACTTCTATTAATCAGTGAGATCCTAAACAGAAAAACTGTTTAAAAAATTACATCAAAATGTCTGTTTTTTTCTCTAAAAGAGGCACATTTCAATGCAAACCCAAGTGTTATCCAGTTGAAGTTAAGTGTATCCAGTTAAGTTTTATGTATTAAAATGGTTTTACAATGCTTATATGCTTGTATTACGTGCAGGATATTTAGTTTTATTCAAACTGAAATGTTTTTGACCATAGTAACTTAGCATGTGTCATATAGCATCTCACCAATATAATAATGCAATAATATTAAATTATTAATAAAAAAAATAATAATATAATATAAAATTATATTAGCTTTTTTTATATTAGCTTTTAGTAATTGTAGATATGCATACATGTGTTAAAGGGTTTCAGCATATTTGAAATTGAAGAAGTATGTAAAAATATTTAATGTAACGTCTTGTTGAGCATAAGAGCTGTATTCATTCAAAAGCTAAAGTGTTTGCATTTTTGACTCCAAAGGAATATGAGAATCTTGAAGGCTTTCTGAAAACAAGGATAAAAAAATCCATAGATCAAGGGATTACAACTGGAGTTAAAATACGCAAACCAAAATAAAACATCAAAAACTTCAGCAGAATTTAAAAAGGTGAAAAAAGGGTAGAGAGCAGTAAAAGCACAATACGGCAGCCAGCAGAACATGAAGACCCCCATGACAATGGCCAGAGTTTTAGCGGCTTTTCTCTCCCTCTGAGCAGATCTTTGGCTCTTCAACCCTCCCTTCACTCTTTCTGACATAACCTTTGCATGTTTTCGTGCAACATGGAAGATTTTCATATACAGAGAGCTCATGATGGCCCCGGTAATAAAGAATGTGAGGAATGGATATACAGCCCACTCTTTGTTAAAAAACAGAACACAACTTCCCACACAGTAAGTCTGCAATATAAGCATCTCAAGTCCAACTGCAGTTATTCCTGAAAACACAATTGAAAAGCTGTACACAACTGAAAACAGCCATATGAAGATGATAAATACAGTCATTGTGGTGTTTGTGACCCTTATTTTGTATCTCAGAGGGTCACAAATCGCCAGATATCTGTCCACAGATATTAAACAGAGATGCAGTAAAGATGATATACAGAAGGTCACATCAAAACTAAAATGAACTTTACACACAACATCTCCCAGATACCAGCAGCCTTCAACAGATCGCACCATGCTGTACGGCATGACCAAAGAACCCATGAGACAATCACAGGCTGCAAGAGACTGAACGATCAGATGAGTTGGAGACTGCAGATGTTTGAAGTGAGAGATGGAGATGATGATCATCAGGTTCCCGAAAACTGTGGTGAGGATCATCAGCAACAGAAAAACATACAATCCCACTTGAACTACAGCAAGACGATGCAGTTTCGGACAGGAGTTTGACAAGAGTGGATAGCAGAGAAGGATGTTTTCAGTTTGAGTCTGATTTGAAGTCATCACGTCTTGGATAATTTTCTTTTTAATCATAAAAAGGCTGACAATTACTAAAAGTTGAATAAAAATAGTAAATTCATTAAATATATTTTGATAAAGACCGACATACAAAGAAAGATAAACAAATACATAGTACAAGTCCATCTACAGTAAGATCATAAATGTTGCTCCGTTATGTCCATATATATACTCTAATGTTCAAAATAACCCCTTCGAAACCAGTCAGTGTAACCCATGGATACAAAAACAACCCAGCCTCAAGTGATTAGCAAAAAAATCATAAGACCAGATCTGTTAGGCCTTTATGTGACAGAGAAATAACCTGTTACATCAGGCACTTATAATAATAATAATTATAATAATTATAACTAGAATTGTACATTTCCTAAAGGAAATGTGAATGGGGTTTGCGTGGCAAATCGATGGGGTACAATGTATTTTTATTGGTTGCTAGGGTGTTCTGAATCGTTGCTAGGATGTTCTGAGTGGTTGCTAGGTGGTTGCTAAGGTGTCCTAAGTGATTGCTATGTGGTTGCTAAGGTGTTGCTAGGCGGTTGCTAGGATGTTCTGAGTGGTTGCTAGGCGGTTGCTAAGGTGTCCTAAGTGGTTGCTAGGTGGTTGCTAAGGTGTTGCTAGGTGGTTGCTAGGGTATTCTAAGTGGTTGCTAAGGCGTTGCTAGGCGGTTGCTAAGGTGTCCTAAGTGGTTGCTAGGTGGTTGCTAAGGTGTTGCTAGGTGGTTGCTAGGGTATTCTAAGTGGTTGCTAGGCGGTTGCTAGGGTGTCCTGAGTGGTTGCTAAGGTGTTGCTAGGTGGTTGCTAGGGTGTCCTGAGTGGTTGCTAGGTGGTTGCTAAGGTGTTGCTAGGTGGTTGCTAGGGTGTTCTGAGTGGTTGCTAGGCGGTTGCTAGGGTGTTCTGAGTGGTTGCTAGGCGGTTGCTAAGGTGTCCTAAGTGGTTGCTAGGTGGTTGCTAAGGTGTTGCTAGGTGGTTGCTAGGGTATTCTGAGTAATTGCTAAGGCGTTGCTAGGCGGTTGCTAGGGTGTCCTGAGTGGTCGCTAGGCCCTTACTAAGACGTTACTAGGCGGTTGCTAGGTGGTTGCTAGGCGGTTGCTAGGGTAATTTGGGTGGTTGCTAGGCAGTTGCTAGGGTACCCTGGGTGGTTACTAGGCAAGCCTCACATACTTGTCTGATGAAATATTTATACTTAGTAAGCATTTCTAGCAAGTTACAGTACATGGCTAGTCAATATTAGCATGTAGCTAGTCACTGCTAGCATGTGTAGCATATAGGAAGTTCCGTTTGCTAGCATGAGTCAAACGAGCCAATCCCCAAGTCTCTACGATGTTCTGATGCTGAGATATAGCTGTTGATGAATGGTTGCTAGGGTACTCTGTTTTGTTGCTATGGGCGAGATTACAGAGTGAGCTTGAATGTGGTTGGCTGTCTAAGTCAAAAGAACCAACCCCCATCTCTCTATGACAGTGCTATGCAAAGATATGCATCTAGGCCTATTTTAATGGAAGTCTATGGAATCAGTTTGGGGGCGTGGCTTGTGAGCTTCATTATCATATTGAGATGCTCATTGGTTGTCTTAGTCAGATGAGCCATCCCCAAGTCAATAGGACATTGCTAAGCAAAGATATGCATGTAGGCCAGCTATAATGGCAGTCTATGGGATCAATTTGGGGGCGTGGCTTGTGAGCTTCATTATCATATTGAGATGCTCATTTGTTGTCTTAGTCAGATGAGCCAACCCCCAAGTCAATAGGACACTGCTAAGCAAAGATATGCAAGTAGACCAGTTACAATGGCAGTCTATGGGACCAGTTTGGGGGCGTGGCTTGTGAGCTTCATTGTCATATTGAAAAGCTCATTGGTTGTCTGAGTCAGATGAGCCAACCCCCAAGCCAATAGGACACTGCTAAGCAAAGATATGCGTGTAGGGCAGTTATAATAGAAGTCTATGGGACCCATTTGGGGGCGTGGCTTGTGAGCTTCATTATCATATAGTGATGCTGATTGGTTGCCTGAGTCAAATGAGCCCACCCCCATGTCTCTATGACACTCCTATGTAATGTTATAGATGTGTGACCTTTATAATGGAAGTCAATGGGATCTGCAATGGGACATCCCACCCCATGTTAAGTCAATGGGGCAGTTAGAGGGGTCTTTAAATGGTCTGGGGGGCGTGGCTTGTGAGCTTCAAAATCATAATGAGATGCTGATTGGTTGCCTGAGTCAAATAAGCCCACCCCCAAGTCAGTATGACACTGTTATGTACTGTGATTGACATATGACATTTATAATGGGAGTCAATGCAATGAATGGAAGTCAATGGCCAATATAAAGTCAATGGGGACCACTTTGGGACGTCCTAGCACCCCAGGGGAACAGCCTATACCCCCTTTCGGGGTATGTTCTCACTTAGGCTGCAACCCCCTACAGATGTTGTGAATCCCATATTTCTATGAAATTCACAATGGACGCAGTGATTGGTTAAAGTTCGGCTCCATGTAAAGTCAATGGAGACTTTGGGACGTCCTAGCTCCCCAGGGGTACAACATTTACCGCCTTTCGGGGTGTGGTTTGAAGCCTCCTATAACCCTCTCGAGATGTCGCGAATCCTATGTCTCTACAAATTTCGCTGTTGGCGCTACGGCGATTTCCGGGAATAGTATCTTACGAGTGTCTAGAAAATGAATGGGAGTCAATGGGGCCCATGTAAGTCAATGGGGACCACTTTGGGACGTCCTAGAGCCCCAGGGGTACAACTTATACCCCCTTGCGGGGTATGTTCTCACTTAGGCTGCAACCCCCTACAGCTGTTGCGAATCCCATATTTCTACGAAATTCACACTCGGCGCTGTGATTCTTCAAAGTTCGGCTCAATGTTAAGTCTATGGGATTTTTGGGGGGGGTTTTTTGGCCCCTGCGGGGCCAAAAAACCCCCCACCCCTTATAAAAGTCATAGCACACCATTCCCGATAAGACCGCACGATTTGAGCCCACTTTCAAGGGTCTGGGACGAAAGCTGCGGGACTAGTTACGCGCCGAAAAATAGGACGGAAGAAGGAAGAAGAAGAAGAAGAAGAAGGAAGAAGAATAACTAGAATTGTACATTTCCTAAAGGAAATGTGAATGGGGTTTGCGTGGCAAATCGATGGGGTACAAAATGGTACTAAACTGGGCAAAATAGCAATAAATGCGGAGAAATGATTCAATTCATGTGTTTATGTGGTTGCTAGGGTAATGTAAATAGTTGCTAGGGTGTGGCAACGCCTTTGTAGTAGGTGAAGACAACAGAGATTTGATCAACCTGCATCAAAAGAACCCAAACCCTGTCTTTCTACGATATTCCAGTGCTAAAATATGACTTGTTCATGTTGTTTTATGGTTGTTAGGGGGCTTAAAGTGGTTGCTAGGGGGTGTTTACAAATTTGTTATGTCACTAATGAATACCGACTTGATAGGCCGAGTAAAATGAGCCCACTATCAAGCTTCTACGACTTACTAATCTAGATATTGATGTCAGCCATTTTGTGTCCATGTTAAGTCAATGGGGATTTTTCGATGTCAGCCATTTTGTGCCAATGGCAGCCATTTTGTGGCAATGTTATGTCTATGGAACCATTTTGGGATGCATTTTTGCCTGTAAAGGCAGCACTTTACCACTGTGGACTACATGCTAATCCTGTTAATGATCAACATGTTGCTAGCATGATGCTAATCGTGTTAGCATCATGCTATCAACATGCTAATTGAGTTGCTAGCATCATGCTAACATGCTTAACATGTAGCTAGCATGATGCTAATTGTGTTAGCATCATGCTAGCAACATGCTAATGGAGTTGCTAGCATCATGCTAACAGGATTAGCATGTAGCTAGCATGATGCTAATCGTGTTAACATCATGCTAGCAACAGTGCTAGGGTGCTCTGAGTGGTTGCTAGGTGGTTGCTAAGGTGTTGCTAGGTGGTTGCTAGGTGGTTGCTAAGGTTTTGCTAGGCGATTGCTAGGGTGTCCTGAGTGGTTGCTAAGGTGTTGCTAGGCGGTTGCTAGGCTGTTTTGAGTGGTTGCTAGGTGGTTGCTGAGGTGTTGCTAGGTGGTTGCTAGGGTGTTCTAAGTGGTTGCTAGGCGGTTGCTAAGGTGTTGCTAGGCGGTTGCTAGGGTGTTCTAAGTGGTTGTTAGGTGGTTGCTAAGGTGTTGCTAGGCGGTTGCTAAGGTGTCCTAAGTGGTTGCTAGGTGGTTGCTAAGGTGTTGCTAGGTGGTTGCTAGGGTATTCTAAGTGGTTGCTAAGGCGTTGCTAGGCGGTTGCTAGGGTGTCCTAAGTGGTTGCTAGGTGGTTGCTAAGGTGTTGCTAGGCGGTTGCTAGGGTGTCCTGAGTGGTTGCTAGGTGTTGCTAGGTGGTTGCTAGGGTGTTCTGAGTGGTTGCTAGATGGTTGCTAGGGTGTTCTGAGTGGTTGCTAGGTGGTTGCTAAGGTGTTGCTAGGCGGTTGCTAGGGTAGTCTGAGTGGTTGCTAAGGCGTTGCTAGGCGGTTGCTAGGGTGTCCTGAGTGGTCGCTAGGCCCTTACTAAGGCGTTGCTAGGCGGTTGCTAGGTGGTTGCTAGGCGGTTGCTAGGGTAATTTGGGTGGTTGCTATGCAGTTGCTAGGGTACCCTGGGTGGTTACTAGGCAAACCTCACATACTTGCCTGATGAAATATTTATACTTAGTAAGCATTTCTAGCAAGTTACAGTACATGGCTAGTCAATATTAGCATGTAGCTAGTCACTGCTAGCATGTGTAGCATATAGGAAGTTCCGTTTGCTAGCTTGAGTCAAACGAGTCAATCCCCAAGTCTCTACGATGTTCCGATGCTGAGATATAGCTGTTGATGAACGGTTGCTAGGGTACTCTGTTTTGTTGCTATGGGCGAGGTTACAGAGTGAACTTGAATGTGGTTGGCTGTCTAAGTCAAATTAACCAACCCCCATGTCTCTATGACACTGCTATCTAAAGATATACATCTAGGCCAGTTATAATGGCAGTCTATGGGAT